CTTATTTACTACTGCTCAAGTAGTGTTCATAACTGCGAAGATCGCTTTCATATTCACGTTTATACCGTTTGAAAGTTAATATTAAGCTGTATTCGTATGACGGTAAAAATTTATCCTTTTTGACGGCTGAAGGTTAAACTTCAGGGAGACCTTCTGTAAAATAAAGATGCGGTCGCTTTAAGGTGTACAATGAAAATGAAATATGAAAAATATGATAATAAATACATGGAATATGAAAAGCGGCGTCAGTATTTTGCGAAACATCTTCGGATAGCTGCTAGAAACCCGTTGCAAAATGTTCGGGAAGTTTCGAAAGTTGCAAAAATATGAGGGAATTGTGCATATGGGGTTGGGAGAGCTTTGACGGTTGACAGTTAAATGTTAGGTCTTACAATTTTACCACCAACCGACAACCGTCATAACTTATCTATTTTAATAAATAAATAAATAGCCGCCAAGGTTATGGAAAGTACTCAAGAATAGTAGGAACAGCCATAAATACAGGTCAGTGGATAAATGAAAGGAAAACAAAATGGACCTGTCAACAAAAAGAAAAAATCGAGATCGAGTATTCTCAATAGGTAATGGAGTAATCTCGTCAGCTTGCCAGGCTGTTTGGAAACTGTAACGCCATTCCGCACGGATCCTGTCCTATACTCTTTTTGGACTTTCTTTGCACAATATCGGGTCAGACTGGATTTTTTCTCGAACCAAAGACATGGTGAAACTTTGCAACGATATTTCTTCTGCAAATAAATTTTGCAATGCTTGTAACAAAACCTTCTTTCCAGGCAGCTTGTTCGTACCCAGGGAGTCAGCTATTACGAGTTCACATTCACCGGACTCCTTGGCTGCCTTTTTTGTTCCCAGCTCTTTATCGTTTTTCTCACAGTTTCTCATAACGCTATGTGGCGAAAGCCGAGGGCGACTTAGATTCTTAAGTGCTTTGCAAATCTCCCAGGTGCGTTCAAAGCATAGGCTTTGGCACCATTTGTTCTATAACACAACTTTTTCAGTTTAACGCGTGTAGTTATTACGCAATCCTTGACAAAAACTTGAAAGGAGTCAAGCTTTGAAAAAATGTGGAACGTATCGTAGAGTTCCAATTTTTCAGTATCACGCTGTCTATTCTTTATACGTAGCAATTCAATTTCGCAAGGAAATCGAAATGAAATATAAAAACTCATGAATTAGTAGCATTTTCATTTTTCGACCTTGAACGTTGGCGCTATGTCGCGCCACATTAGCGCGCCTGCTTATACGGAAGGCAATCGTGAGCGGTAACTCATGAGCGAATGGTAGACGCTGAATTGACTAATAGAGGGGCGCTTCATTTAAGGTGTGCTGGTAAATGGTAAATCACTATGATAATAATAAAACCTATCATGAAAATGATGACAAAAAAAAGAGATAACAATAAAACTTCTGAGAGAAAACTTCCAATTTATCTGAAGTAAACGCGCACCGTGGCTTATTGTCGTTTAACGCACACTGTAGTCTCCTTCGCAGACATTTGTTTGTCTCGTCATGCAACGCTCTCTCTCCCACGTTGGAGAGAGACTGTTGCGTGACGAGAGCGAACAACAGCTGCGAGGGAGATTACGTTAGCATGAGAGATATCATTATTAGCATTTGGTAACCAGCGCTTCTTCGCCTGCCGGATCGTATGAGACCTTCAGGAGCACGAGCCAGCGAGAGGTGTGTACGGGGTCTGGTACTACTAATTAGTGCCAGATTCCCTGCAAATCTCACGCCGACTTGTCTTACAATGCATACGCGATTTCAGGCCCCTCAGTGGTGGGTTGAGATTCACCATGCGCCTATAACCTTAAAATAGACACACGCTACTTATTCTAATTTTAAATTGGCTGTTTCACCATACAAAGCAATAAAGCGCTCAGGGCTTGGGCCAAGGTAAGTGCGATATTTATTTGTTAACGTCCTGATGTGTTAATGTGATTCTCATCAATTTTATGATTCACATTTCAACGCCTTTGTAGCTGGAGCTGTTCTTACAGAGGCCATTATTATATTTATTAACTTTCTGACACAATTTGAATTGCTATAGTAGGACGTCGTTCTTAATAAATCCCCTCTTTTTTGAAAATTTTCTTCGTATTCCTCGGAGAAAAAATTTCTGACGCATAAAACATAAGTACTTGTGCTACGTTGAGTCAAATTCGTTTCACTCATACCTATCCATCAGCCGGATAACAATCAAACCGCTTGTGTGAATTTAATCAAATATACATGCCCAATTTGTACCCAAAGTTTACAAATGTTAGCATCATGTACACATTGCTTTTCACGCGCGAGGTCAGTTATCTTCGGCAAAACAAGTTTTCAGATTCTGAAAGACGGTATACATTGTTAGTGTTCCCAATGTAAAAAATAGGTAAAATAAGGCCGCTCGAAATTGAAAATCATATCAAATCTTTATATCTCCCGGTTCGTCTAATGTTGTATACTTGGCCGTCCTGAGTAGCTTAATGTTTTTCAGAGTCAGTCGAACGCAGAGTATATACAAATCGCGCAGTATTGCTAAATTTCATATTAATTCAAGGCGGGGAAATCTAGTCTGTTTGAAAATTCAACCTTGTGCGCTTAATTTATGGAGAAGATGATGAGCGCTTGATTTTCAGGTTCCTAAGCGGTTTGTTGTTGTTGTTGTTCTGTACAGATCGAACATAGTCTTTATACTTGGTTACCGTTTTTCCCTCTTTGCTTCATCAATTTTTTTTCATTCATTTTACTTCTATTTTACAAACGTTTTTACGTCTTTCTTGCAATAGCTATTTGCATTTATCTTTGTTTTTCAGAAAAGTCTTATTTCAGTTTCGTGCTTTTGGTTTCATCAGTCATAAGACCAGAATATCAAACACAACAAGCTTCTTGTATAAAAGGTAAAAAATAATATAAGAAACAATTTTTCCCGCTTTACAATACTGGAATGATTTACACTAGATATTCAAAGCCAGAGCATTTAAACCTCGAAAAAATCTTAGAATTGGAAAATATTTGTTTGACTTAAACTTATCATAGTCTGCAAAATAAAATGATGAACTCAATTTTAGGCCTTTAACTTTCATCATCTTACTTAGTCTCCTTTGGAAATGTTTCAAATATGACAGTAAATATTTTTAGAGAATGAAGTGTTGCGTCAATTTGACACCGTCCAGCTGATAAGTTTCTTTATTCTCCAAAACTGTTGGCGAGTCTGAGAGTGAAAGAGTAAAAGCGGATACGCAATGCACGAACGGGAAATTCAGATTTTTAAATCTGAATTTTTTTTTTCAAAAAAAGAACATGAAAATGCCATGATTTTTATTTAAATTACGGGGAGGTAAGAAAGCAACGTAGTATATTTTTACGTTTTCTAAACAAATTTTTTGTTTCAGCAATAAAGCTGTTAATTTTTTTCCCTCTTGTCAGATTGTCATTCATCTCTGTTTTGTAGGGAATGCGTTATCTCAGTCTCTACATCTCGGCTTCCTCAGTCATTCGATCACAATACGAAACAAGAGACACTTTCTTACTCAAATATGGCGCAACAAAAATCAAATACAAGACAAGCGATTTTTGACGCGGAAAGAAAAACTAAATTTAGTAATAGTTATTCTTTTCCCGCTTTGAAAAAAGAATTATTTCTGATTAAAATTTAGCAAATTCAGTGATTAAAGAGTTGTAATTCCATACAATCTGATAATATTTGTGAAGACCTTCCAAATTCGAATCAAGTTTTGATTTCATTGCAAAATATTTAAGGTCTGCATCATCTTAGCCTTTTGAAGCTATGATCTCATCAGCAATTCTTTCTTCTAACTCCCCTACATTACCTTGCTAGTGAGTAAGGAGAATTCAATGTTGTATGAGGAAAAAAACCCACGGCTGATAAGTATTCTCGTCGCTTGTTCACTGAATATTATGTTGATATTGGAGAGAGAAGCAACATGTTCCTCACTTCTGTAACTTGAAGGTTTTAAAAAATCGGGCAAAGAGAAATTAAAACCATCAAACTCTTATCAATGATATGTGAGCTTCAATATTTATTGAGATATCTTATCTGTAGTGCAAGTTCCATCCTTATCAGGTTTTCACTGATTCCTTTTAACCGATAATTTTCCTTTCACAAGAATGCTAACGTAACACGATTGGTAAGTTAACCGCTGTTCTACTGGTGATAATTTTTTAAAAGCTGTATCCAAATCAGCTCTACAATTATTGTGATTTGAACCCGGATGATACACTTGTGACTGGTTTGAAAAAAAAAAAAAGAATGAAAAAGGAATGTTGCGCTTAGACATTTGTTAGGAGGAAGACAACCAGAAATTCCCTAAAAACACTTTATAAAGTTATAAAAGTGTTACTTTCTTTTTATCTTTTTTTCCGTTTCTGACGACAACAGACAGGAGAGAGCCGTTATGAGTGAGGCTGCAGAAATCCTAAAATCAGTCCAAATAGGTCTAAATGTCGTCATATTTCTTCTGAACACTGATCGTGGCCTACAAGCGACTGAGTTATGTAATGAATGTGTGATTCTACTTCAAAACCTTGGCTCTGGTAGTCACCTTAATATCTCCGATGAACTATTCAATGCATACTACGCCATCTCTGGTTACACAGATGCGGAAAGACATGCCGTCAAACTTCTTAAAACGTTCCAACATGCTGGGGAATTAATCATAGAACTGGGAGACAAATGTGAAGTACAAAGCCGGTTTACAGAGGCGAAGCAACTCTTTAAGGGCGCACTCACCATCATGAAAATGGTTGGTCACAAAAGACAAGAAGCGATGGCTTATGGAAGACTTGGAAATGTGTGTACTAGCCTTAGAGAATATCAGAAAGCTAAAGAATATCAAGAGAAAGCACTTGCCGTCGCGATAGAAATTGGCGACAGAAAAGGAGAAGTTGCAACATACGGGAACCTCGGAGCTGTGTTTGATTCCCTCGGCGAATATCAGAAGGCTAAAGAATATCACGAGAAAGCACTTGCCGTCGCGATAGAAACTGGTGACAGAAGAGGAGAAGGAACAACAAACAGGAACCTTGGAAATCTGTTTCATTCTCTTGGCGAATATCAAAGGGCTAAAGAGTATCAAGATAAAGCACTTGCCATTGCGATAGAAATTGGCGACAGAAAAGAAGAAGGAACAAGATACGGGAACCTCGGAAATGTGTTTGATTCCCTTGGCGAATTTCAGAGGGCTAAAGAATATCAAGAGAAAGCACTTGCTATCGCGATAGAAATTGGCAACAGACAAGGAGAAGGAACAACATACGGGAACCTCGGAAATGTGTTTGATTCCCTTGGCGAATATCAGAGGGCTAAAGAATATCAAGAGAAGGCACTTGCTATCACGAGAGAAACTGGCGATAGACAAGGAGAAGGAACAACGTACGGGAACCTCGGAAATGTGATGCATTCCCTTGGCGAATATCAGAAGGCTAAAGAATATCACGAGAGAGCACTTGCCATCGCGATAGAAATTGGCGACAGAAAAGGAGAAGGAACAACATGTGGAAACCTCGGAATTGTGTTTCATTCCCTTGGCGAATATCAGAGGGCTAAAGAATATCAAGAGAAAGCACTTGCCATCGCGATAGAAATTGGCGACAGACAAAGAGAAGGAACAATATACGGGAACCTCGGAAACGTGTTTGAATCTCTTAGCGAATATCAGAAGGCTAAAGAATATCAAGAGAAAGCACTTGCCATCGCAATAGAAATTGGCGACAGAAAAGGAGAAGGAACAACATGTGGACACCTCGGAATTGTATTTCATTTCCTTGGCGAATATCAGAAGGCCAGAGAATATCAAGAGCAAGCACTTGCAATCGAAATAGAAATTGGCGACAGAAAAGGAGAAGAAATAACATGCGGGAACCTCGGAGCTGTGTTTGAATCCCTTGGCGAATATCAAAAGGCTAGAGAATATCACGAGAGAGCACTTGCCATCGCGAAAGAAACTGGCGACAAAAAAGGAGAAGGAACAACATGTGGACACCTCGGAATTGTGTTTCATTCCCTGGGCGAATATCAGAAGGCCAAAGAATATCAAGAGAGAGCATTTGCCATCGCGATAGAAACTGGCGACAGACAAGGAGAGGGAACAACATACGGGAACCTTGGAACTGTGATTCATTCCCTTGGCGAATATCAGAAGGCTAAAGAATATCAAGAGAAAGCACTTGCCATCGCGATAGAAATTGGCGACAGAAAAGGAGAAGGAACAACATATGGACACCTCGGAAATGTGTTTCATTCCCTTGGCGAATATCAGAAGGCTAGAGAATATCAAGAGAAAGCACTCGCCATAACGACAGAAATTGGCGACAGAAAAGGAGAAGGAACAACGTACGGGAACCTCGGAACTGTGTTTGAATCCATTGGCGAATATCAGAGGGCTAAAGAGTATCAAGAGAAAGCACTTGCCATCGCGATAGAAGTTGGTGACAGAAAAGGAGAAGGAACAACATGTGGACACCTCGGAATTGTGTTTCATTCCCTTGGCGAATATCAGAAGGCTAGAGAATATCAAGAGAAAGCACTTGCCATCGTGATAGAAATTGGTGACAGAAAAGGGGAAGAAACAACATGCGGACACCTCGGAACTGTGTTTCGTTCCCTTGGCGAATGTCAGAGGGCTAAAGAGTATCAAGAGAGAGCACTTGCCATCGCGATAGAAATTGGCGACAGACAAGGAGAAGGAACAACATACGGGCACCTCGGGATTGTGTTGCATTCCCTGGGTGAACATCAGAGGGCTAAAGAATATCACGAGAAAGCACTTGCCATCGAGATAGAAATTGGCGACAGAGCAGGAGAAGGAACAACATGTGGACACCTCGGATTTGTGTCTCACTCCCTTGGCGAATATCAGAAGGCTAGAGAATATCAAGAGAAAGCACTTGCCATCGCGATAGAAATTGGCGATAGAAAAGGAGAAGAAACAACATGCGGACACCTCGGAACTGTGTTTCGTTCCCTCGGCGAATATCAGAGGGCAAAAGAACATCACGAAAAAGCACTTGCCATCGCGATAGAAATTGGCGACAGAAAAGGAGAAGGAACAACATGTGGACACCTCGGAATTGTGTTTCATTCCCTTGGCGAATATCAGAAGGCTAAAGAATATCAAGAGAAAGCACTTGCCATAGCGATGGAAATTGGTGACAGAAACATGGAAGGAACAATTTACGGGAACCTCGGAGCTGCGTTTGATTGCCTTAGCGAATATCAGAAGGCTCAAGAATATCACGAAAAAGCACTTGCCATTATGATAGAAATTGGCGACAGTGAAAAAGAAGGAACAGCATACGTTAACCTCGGAGCTGTGTTTGAGTCCCTTGGCGAATATCAGAAGGCTAAAGTATATGAAGAGAAAGGGCTTGCCATCGCAATAAAATTTGGCGACAGGAGAGGAGAAGGTTTCGCACACTTAAATATTGGAAAAATTTACCTTAAGCTTCATAAAAATCGGGCAGCTAAAGAACATTTGGACAAAGCAGTCAGCGTCAGTATTACACTTGGTGACAGAAAACTAGAGGTCTTGGCTACTGTAAGTTTGGCAGCTGTCTTTGCTTCTGTCAATGACAGTCAGAAGGCAAAAGAGCATTTCGAGAAGGCGCTTACAATCAGCAGAGAATGTAGCGATAGATATTTGGAAGCACATGTTTATCTAAACCTTGGACGTCTATTCCAATCGTTTGGGGAATGTGGCAAGGCAGCAGATTATTTAGAGAAAGCTTGTTCCATAAGCAGCCATATTGGACACAAAATGGCTGAGTTTCACAGCCTTCTCAGTATTACAATATTAAAGACATCACAGTCAGAGACTGTTGAGGCAATGGAATATCTTCTTCATTGTATTGGAAAATATGAACAAATCAGAACTCTACTGAAAGGAAACAGTGAATTTCAAATGTCTCTGTTGGAGGAACACGGTACTTTTCCCTATCAGTTATTTACTGATTTGCTTTGCGATACTGGAAAATTTCGAGATGCTCTCTATGTTGAGGAGCTGGGACGAGCAAGAGTCCTCACAGAATTTATGGCAGACAAGTACTCCGCTGAAAGCCACATTTCAGCCGATCCACGATCATGGTTCGGCATCGAAAACGTCGTGAAAAGAGAAAGTAACTGTGCTTTTTTGTACATTTCATATAGAGATCGGCAAGTTCTTCTCTGGGTATGGAAAACAAATGGGGACATTTGCTTTCGAAAAACAGACGAGGTGAAAGTAGAGACTCTTATCGCTGAGCAAGTTTGCGAAGTGGAAGGAATTTTCAAAAAGAGCGCCGCCTGCTTTGGTGTTTTACCCACAGCGAACTGCGAAGACCGATCGCTGGATGACAACGTTCATGAAGAGAGCCAAGTAAATTTGCGAGGTGACAAAATCAAAGATACCGGAAGAAGTCATCATTTGTGCTACGAATGGATCTTCGCACCTGTGGCAGATTTACTTACAGAGCCCGAAATCATTATTGTACCGGATCGTTTTTCGTACCGAGTCCCATTTGCTGCCTTGCGTGATGGACCAGCTGGAAAGTATTTATCGGAGAAGTACAGAATACGCATCGTCCCTTCACTGACGACTCTCCGGCTCATTCAAGAATGTCCAGCAGACTATCACAGTCAAACTGATGCATTGGTTGCCGGTGATCCTACGGTTGGCAAAGTGCATTATAATGGACGTCTCACTGACATTAAACCATTGTTCTGTGCAAATAAGGAAGCAGAGATGGTTGGTCAACTGCTGGGCGTTCAGCCTTTGTTAGGAAGTCGCGCAACAAAGCACGCGGTTCTTCAAGCAATACCTTCAGTGAGTCTGATACATCTTGCTGCCCATGGAAATGCCGAAAGAGGAGAGATTGCCCTCTCTCCTCAGTATACTTGTAACAGTACTCCACAAGAGGAAGACTACCTCCTGACAATGTCCGACATCGAAGGAGTTCAAGTGCGAGCTAAACTAGTAGTACTTAGTTGTTGTCACAGTGGGCGTGGATTGGTAAAAAAGGAAGGAGTTATTGGAATCGCTCGAGCATTTCTAGCATCCGGTGCACGTTCAGTGTTGGTAGCATCGTGGGCTGTAGAAGATGAAGCAACGTCAAAGCTCATGAAACATTTCTACGCACACCTTGTTCGTGGAGAAAGTGCGAGTGAATCTCTTCACCAGGCTGTTCAATGGTTGAGAAGCAATGGCTTCCCCAGACCTTTCCAATGGGCTCCGTTTGTGCTGATGGGAGATAACGTGACATTTTATTTTATGAAAAAAGGGTACGTCTGATTATAATGAGCAATTTTCTAAGATGAACCGATAAACATACTTAACTTGTTCAGTTTACTTAGTTGTCGTAATTTTGTTTGTTTGTTTTTGTCTTTGTCTTTCATCAATGAAATGCCAAGAAAAAGCAGTTAGTTTTATCTAGTGCGAAGATAAAAGATTCTGACGAATTACTCTCTAAAATTGGCGTTGAATTAGAGTTTCTTATGTATGTGTTATACTCAGAAATAATTACTGAAGTCGATACGATGCTAGATGCTATGACGATGACGATAACTTGAGAAGCTAAAAAAGTTAACTTTATCTGCAAAAAATAAACAAAAATAACAGTAAATTCACAATCTTAGTCACTTTTGAATCATACATGGTATGTTCGACAGGTCTGGATGATCATAGCCAATGTCATGACGAAAAAAAGTAATTTCTTTTATTGGAAATCTGTTCCGTTCACTTCAAAGTTGAAATAGAGATACATGTAAAAATTTATTTTTTAGGAAAGAAGAACTCGAGGAGGACAGCAACGAGGCGGAAAAGAAACAGGGTGATTACTGATGCTACACAAAGATTCTTCTTCCTGTACGCTGGACACTAGTATTACTTTACGAAGATGTTTTTAATATTCTTTTTAAGTCGAGAATTAAAATTTGCGTGCTCTTGTAAGAGGGGTTTACGTTTAACGTACAGTGCGCAATATAATCGCAACAAAAAAAGTGAAAAAGAAGAAACAGTGGATTGAACATTGACAAAAGCGTCAGATTGGAAAGAAAAGGTCATGATTTATTTATACTTCAAAGCTGCCTCAAAACTATCAACTGATCAAATTATGACTAAACTGGGCTTGGAACCTCTCTATTATAGAAGACGGACACACATTTTAAGATTTGTTGATGAGTGCATTGCAAATAGAGTTCCCAGATACCTTTCTAATTATTTCAATGTAAGAAACCGTGACATTCACCGCCACAAAACTAGAAATAATAATGACCTTATTTTAGAAAAAATTAATTTAGAATGCACCAAGCGTGCTTTTTCCTACAAAGGTGCAAAAATTTTTAATAATTTTTAATAATTCTTAGAATTTATAACTGTTCGATCTTTCGTTTAGTGTAACTATTTTGTAATATTGTAATTTGATTTTTATCTATATTTTAAATCTTTTTTTATTTTTATTTTTATATTTTTAATTTTTTACAGGACCTGCATTGATAGCAGTTGAAACTGAAGCAGCAATCCTGCATAAATATGTTTGAATAACATAACATAATATTGCGCGAAACTGTGCACAAGACACTGATGTTATACAAACGGTAAAACCGTTTTCGTGGTCTATCGTCTGTGTGGTCTGAATAATTATAAACGAAAATAAACTTACTTAACCTTTACGCAGAAGATGAAGCAATGCCTTTGGTGGGAACATGGCAACAAGAATAAGTTAGTTGACTAAAAAGCGTCCGTTGGTGCCGTGGAAATTAAGAGTGCCGATTTGAAAGATAAGATTTGCTCTAGAGTTTAGAGTTCAGCTACTGTCATATTTTCCATTGTGATTTATTATGGACAAACGCTCGAAACGTCAGCCTAGAAAGTCTTTACGGTGGCCAATTTCCATTTTCAACTCAGGTGATGAAACCAAATTATCTTTTAGTTCCTTAGCTTAGTTTAGTGGTCACCCGTCATCTTATTTTCAATTGTAATCTATCATATGGGGGCGTTAGTTTAGCCCTTTAGACAAGTAGGGGTTGTTGAAAATCACGTTTTACAATTTAGTTGTAAAAAACTCGTTCAAGTAAAGTGGAGCTGTAGTCAGTATTCTGAAGTGTCACGATCGGACATAGCTGATCCGTCTCCTGTCAGACCCGGACAAAAAGTAACCGTTATGTGGGGGAGGCAGAAGAAAGAGCACACTGCTGTTGTTGAATGCTACCCAGTAGAGCCTGAGGAGTCAGAACACACGGAACATCAGGATGGCTCTCCCCCGCGTCGAGCAAAGAAACAGTTGGTAAGTTATTTACTTCCTTTTTTATCTTTAATAACTACTCGACAAGATTATCTTACTAAAGATCGAGTTAACATAGTTGAAAGTTTGACAACTATGTAAGGGACAGCGATGAAGATTCAGACAACTTAGAACCTCTGTTTGCGACTGCTTTGGTCGCCATTGCGAAAGAAAAAACCCTAGCAAAGCCAAACACCAAACGCATTTATGGCATGTTCTTTCGTTTGACTCCAAAGAGTTATTATCGATTATCTAACTTCTCTCCTCGTAATACCAGCCCTAAATCACTCGTTTAGGTCAGGATAGTAAAAGAAATGATCTCCATCTAGATCTTAATCGGTGTAGAAGACGCAGTTGACGTAACAGACAGACAAAAGAACGAGGAAAAATGGACAACAATTTTCCGTCGGTTGTCGGGTAAATCGTTCATCTGGAAGGCTCCTTAGTCCTGCATAGCAACTAATCTGATCAAGAACAGCTCAAGGTCAGATTTGTACCAGTTGAACGGTTCACTTATTTGGATATATCGACCATGTCGCTGGTGGTAAGATTATGCCGGCATTCTAGGGGCTGGTGCCCTCTTTGCATTTTATGGAGAAGACGAATGTATCATGCATCGAGATGGAAAAGTTAGGCATCCACGCGGAAGATCACCCAATCCTATCAACGGAACAGATTGCGTTGTCCTCTCTGACGTCCGTGACTCTACAGAATTCTGCTTTGGCGATTTGGATGGCAAGGAAATATCCCCAAATCATGTCCAACTCCAGAACTCCGATAGGTGCACCTATAGAAGCTTAGAGATTATTCGCAATTTTCCGCATCTTTTTTCAAGAGAGCACGCAAGAAAAACACTTCAAATTTTCCCAAATAATACTTTAATTCTACTTTTAGCCTCTCTTAATTAACAGAAACCTTTGCCCAATATCAGGCTACAAAATGTTCGAAATTCGGACTGTTGTCTCTGACACGCGACGTGTACAAATCACCAGTTTAAGACGGGAAAAAAGTCACGGTAGCGATTTAAGCGAAACATTCCTAACCTTATAAACTCGTGTGATGAACGCGCAGTTTTGACTTTACACCAAAGTTTTTCGGTCATTATTTCATATGTTTCTTTGTGCTTCGATTATGACCTCAACTAACCTTACACATAATATTTATAACGGCACCCCCTCAAGGCAACTCGAGTTAATCTCGCACCCAGATCATACCACGTAACTGTTACAGCCGCTTGGCCGTGGAAGGTCTGGGTACGACACTTGCCTGGAGTGCCTTCAAAGCACTTTTAGGCAAAAACGCCTCGATCGCCTATAAGTAGTTATTTGGGTTTGATTCATCACAACACTTTGTCTATAATATAAGATATATAGACTAGACCCTGTGAGCAGGGTAACTGGGATACCTGGATGGTACTGGATCCTTGGAATCAAGTGTAGTGATACTACGGGTGTCGCACTAGTACACTGAAATAGCGAGCTCAAGTCTGGCCAAGGGCATACACCTATTTCAAAACATAGGCATGCTATGCATGCAAGAGTTATTTTTTGTAGGGTGGGTGGATTACTTGAAACATTGTAGGTGGTCTACATTCTTACAGAAGGAAAGAAGAGTATTAACGCGGAAAAGAACGAAAATGTCTAATTACCTTACACACAGGTATTTTGTGGTAGATTATGTGTGTTGTGCGAGTAAATGTAACCAAAAATAAACGGTATTGGTGCCACGGATACCTGTAAGTACAAAATGTAGACAGCAGACTGCAGACCGGATACAAAATATAGACTGCAGACTGCAGAATGGGTACAAAATGCAGACTGAGAATCAAAAGAGCTTTTACCTCTGGTATATAATAACATGTCATCTTACAGCTTACCGAGCGTCACGCAATCGCTTTCCGCGATCAGCTTTCACGATTATTTGCCCTATTGTGGAATATTCCTAGCCCATTTCTTGATGAATATCGATCGTGATATAATTTCAAGCCTTCAATATAGTCTTCTTACTTTGCGCGCGAGTTGGTTGGTGAGATGTCTGTACAGATTTTACCAACGTAACAAAAGTAGATGACTTGAATAACAATTATGGTAAAGCAAGCTTAAAACGGCAGAAATCGCCAGAAACTACAACGGATACATAGGGTATGCGTAAGTTTTATTGATTTTTACCAGAAAATTGTTCATATATCGAAGTATTTATCGTTGTAAATCGACCATATTTCGTTCCCTATACTATTTCTAGTAACGTGCTCAAATTTTCCACGGTTCCTTTCGTAACTTAACAACGAGTCACACAACGCGTGAAGCGTTCATGAATTAGTCGTTGGCTTTTTCTCGAGACGTGAGCTTGGGCCGCCTGTGACAAGACAATTGCGTAAACGATACTTAACATAATGACATTATACACAAAAACCACACGATTTTGGATTATGTATTTATTAAGAAAGAATATTCATACAACTACAATGAAAACAAACATAAGATTCACCTTTCTGATCTTGAAATTAATTCCATTCGCACTGTCATCGTAGCTAAGTTCCCTGGCATCAAGTGAATCCAACATGGCGTCTTTCTTCACAAGCAGTTTCCATTCATTAGAGTTTTGTTCTCCAGTCTCACGGTAGTAGTGTTGTTCAATAGATTGCATAGAGTATATGCAGTTTGGTTTCCGATTTCCGATTTTGCTTTTTACAACAAGTGTACGTTTTTCAACCAAGACATTAGCATACTTGGCATACAAGGCATCCAAAGCTTTCACGGCTTTCAAGCGTTCGCGACTCAATCCGTTCCAAAATTACCGCTCAATAACATCTCTTAGTGTGGATTGGCCGCGAACAATACGACTTGTGTATGCGTCTGTAAGTATTTTGGGCGTTTGCGCCATA